AAAAAAGCTGGCAACTGTGAGGTTCCTGGAAGGAGGAAGCACTTCAGACAGAAGGCTTCCCTTTGCAGCCGGAGCCTCACTGCTCTGTGTGGATAATGTTCACTACTGAATAGAGAAAGAACATACATTATAGAGCACATTGCATGCCATGATTTTTTTTTTTTTGAGAGAGAGAGATTTTAAGCTATGTAGTTGCTTTGCATACTCACAGTGATTGATGTTTCGTGACAGACGCTATAATCTTTCTGGAGCTGTATTTGCAGGAAGGCGTTTAGTCCAGCTCTGGTGACGCATGCCTTAATATCGGGGGGCGGGGGGAGAGCCTGAATGTGACGCTAGTCTGGGTTACATAGTGGGCTTCTGTCTATGGAAAAAAGACCTCAGCTCATCTTCCTGTCCCGGGTGACTGGTCGCACCCTCCACCCTCCATCTCTGTGTCTGGGATGAGGAGCTGGTCCCGGCGGACGTGTCGCGAGTCAGTCCTTCAGAGAGGCCTTGGGTCCAGCCACCGTGCATTTAGTTCATGCTTTGTTCTGTGTTATTTGCTTGTTTTGGGTTTTGTGTATATTTCCAATCTTTTTATTCTAGAAAATATAGATGCGGATGGACAGGGATTTTGTCAAGGCGGATTCAGCATTGATTTTACTAAAGTAAGTTCTCATTTAAGATAGATTTGGATCTTCTTTACTGACTCAACTGGGTTTAAAGATACGTGGTCCTGACTTCAGTTTTTTTCATAATTATCATGTTCTAATGAAAATGGAATGAAGCAGTCTGTTCATTTTGATATTCTTTGACTTAAAATATTCCCTCCTTCAGAAACGCTGCACAGTGAGAATTGGGGAAGGCAGGAAATCTCCGCAGTACATGATAGGCAACTATGACAGCACAGAAGTTCCCAGGGAAGGCAAAACTGGCGCATACAGCGGAGCTTGCCACCAAGCCTGGCGACTTCAGTTCATCCCTGGAAGCCACAGGAGCTGACGACAGATTTGTTCACACATGTACACCGCCCTTACTTACATCATGCACAACACACACATGCACACACACACACACACACACACACACACTTACACACATACACTCAAAACTCCTACACACAATCACAAATACACACATTCACACACACGCATTCACACACACATAAACACTTACACACGCTCAAAACACCCACATACACACATTCACAATTACACACACACACACACACACACAGGCAAACACATTTGAAATTTCTACTTATGGGAATTTACAGAACATTACAGTTTTCTTTTCAACTGAATTTTTTTTTTTTCCACAAAAGCTGCTAATAGAAATTTTGTTACAAAATTAGTTTAATTACGTAAAAGCTGGGAAACATATCTGGTTGCCATTGTTTTGTTTTTTTGTTTTTTTTTTTTTGTCTGTTGGTGCCAAGTGAAGCTGAGGCAATTTAACATGGTGAAAAACTCTCATGAGCAGGATTCTATTTCTAATTAAACTGACATGCTCTTCAAACTCAAACAGTTTTTAGTTTATCTAAGTAAAAATTTCATCAGCATTTTTATGGACAAACTTTCTTAAGTATGCTTCTTTAAAACTTTTTTGTTCACTTCAGTATCTTTTTTTTTGTCAGCTGCCTAAACACTTTGAATAGCAAGTTGATAATGTTAACCCTTCCTGTGAGAAGTTTCAAAAAATACATTGATTAAAACAAGAGCTTCCTGGGACTGGGAGATGGCACATCCCATAATCCCAACACTCAGGAGGCCGAGGCAGAGGGTTTGCAAGTTCAGAGCTACCCTGGCAACCCAGCAAGACTTGCTTCAAAGTAAAAAAACAACACCTGAGGCAACAATGGCAGCAATAAATGTAGAATGTAAAGTTAGAGGAAAAAAATCTTGCCTCTAGCAAGAAAAAAAATTCCAAGACTCCATCATGCAATAACACAAGATTCCTTGAATTAGACCCTAACAGTTTGTAATGGGCTTAAAACATTCTCGTGTCCTTATTGAAATTTCCCCTCTAAAGCCACGTATTTCAAGGTTTATGAGAAACTAAAATGGTTTTTCTTTAGCAGAGTATTTCTCAATGATCACTGGAATTTATCTTAAGTAGTCATAATAAATGGAGTTGAGAAGCAACTCTTTCCTAACTGAAACCAAGTCTTGTTTCTGCCAGTGTTTCATTCAGAATGTACAGAGTAGCCCATATCTTCAGAAACAATGTTTCCATGTTAAATGAAGGTCTTAAATTCCTGAATTCCTTTCAAAAAGTTACTGTGTACTGCTGAAACAAGGGAGCCAGCAGCTGGGATTTAATTATAATAGATATTTAATATGTGCACTAGTATCTGAATGTTTAGCATGCTGTTTTCTGTGTCCCAGCTCTCTGTCTTATCTCTTCTCTTCTGTGGTTTGATGTAGGCTGACAGAGTACTTCTTGGTGGTCCTGGCAGCTTTTATTGGCAAGGTAGGTTCACATTTTTCAACTGAGTACTTGGCCACTCACATGCCTGTGAAGTATTTCAAATTATACTGAAGGAAGAAATAGAAAATATAGTTTAAGTATATAAATTATCTGTTATACAGTATTCTTAGGAAAGAATTTGATGTGTTTTCTATGGTGCATATTAAATGTACATATAGTTCAGATACAAAATCAACAGTTTTAAAGGTAAATTTAAAGATATAAAATACTTTTAAATGTTTTTTTGGGGGGAGCCGGTAAGTGGTGTGTATTTTATTTTCATACTCCAGAGGCCATGGCACATACGATATTAAGTGTAGCTTTCTGAAAGCTCAGGGTTTAAATTGCTGATCAGAGTACCCAAATGATCTGGGTGGTGGTGGCACACTCCTTTAATGCGAGCGCTTGGGGAGGCTGAAGCAGGCAGATTTCTGTGAGTTCAAGCCCAGCCTGGTCTACAGAGTGAGTTCTAGGACAGCCAGGGCTCCACAGTGAAACCCTGTCTGGAAAAACAAAAACAAATACAAACAAACAAAACCAAACCCAAATGTTTTGCTACTGCCCTCAGGAAGACTTTAAAGTTAGAAGATCTTAGCCATACACAGTGGCACACACCTTTAATCTCAGCAGTTGGGGAGGTCAAGTCAGGCAGATCTCTGTGAGTTCAAGACTAGTCTGTGAGATTCTGACTCAAAAAATGTAACTTTAAAAAAATTAATTAAACTGGCAGTGATTTAAAGATAAAACACTATCCAGCCATTCTAGAAAAGTGTTACTATACTACCGTCTTGTTGAGGGAGGAGGTAAAGAAAAGAGAAAAAAATCATGCAGCAGAAACAGTGTATGGGAGACATCCTAAAATAGGAAAGATATTTTCACTTGTGTGATTGTTAGGGACACACCTTCACGTAGCCATGTTACTTGTTCAGTTTCTCTTAAGGAGCGCTGTTCACAGGGTCAGAACTCCCCTTTCTGAGCAGCCCCGGCTGAGAGTCTCTGAACAGAAATACTGGAAAGGATATGACTGTATCAGTTTGAAAGTCTTTCTCATGTTGAGTTTTACTTTTTCTTTTGTTCTGTGATTTTTCCATATGAGGCTCTTTGTGGGAAAATACCTGCTTTCATCCCACACCCAGAGTTCAGGAAAAGGGAATGGGATGGATGAGAAATAATAAATGAAAAGTTTAGAGCCCAGAAAACACAGGTATCAAACATGCCCGGCTTGAGAGGCACGCTAGTTAAAACAGGAAAGTGTGGTTCTGTGGGTCATGTAGCTATTGAGAAGTGAAAATTTCAAAACTTTGGTTGAGTTTTACTGCTACAGAACAAAAGCAGCAGCTTAAAGTGCAGAAAGGAAGCTTAAAGTGCTGCTCTCTGGTTCTCGGTGGCAGCTCTGACAGCTTGTGTTTGCAGCCCGGGGTGTGTAGCTCCTGAGTGTTTACCAGGCCCAGCTTCAGCCCCAGTACTGGGGTTGGGGTAGGAAGACGAAACACACAAGCTTGGGTTTGTTCTTCTTTTCATTAATGCCTTGTGCCCAATGGCGTAGGCAAGGGAGATGGTATTCCTGAGAAACCACTGTGACCGAGGCCAGACTTGGCGATTCTGCTGCTTTAAGACACATCTGTTGTACATTGATGCCATGTTTATATAATTGGCCTGAAATATACAACTAAAAGTCTCGATTCACAGAGAATTGTTTTTAGGTAAGCTCTCCCTCTCCACACACACACACACACACACACACACACACACACACACACACACACGTGGTTGTGGATGTGTAGCAGGACCTGTGTTCTCCCCGCTTCACACGCTCCTGTGTGCCCTCCTCCACAGGTCAGCTCATTTCCGACCAAGTGGCAGAGATCATATCTAAGTACGACCCCAACGTCTACAGCATCAAATACAACAACCAGTTAGCGACACGGACTGCACAGGCAATTTTTGATGACAGTTATTTGGGTAAGTAAGTGCAAACTATAGACTGATTGTATGGGGTTGTGGTATATTTGCCCTGCTAGTTTGCACATACTACGTTAGGTAAAAAAAAAAGTCATTTATGTGAAGTAGATTAATTTTTAATAAAGCCATCTGAGGGGCGTGTGGCATCGATGGGCATAGCATGCTGAGATTATGCCATAATTCAGTAATTAAAGCTGAGGAGGTGCCTGCTGCTCGGTAACACTGCTAGTGTTAACAGGTAACCGGGAGATGATGCCCCTGTTCCAGGCGTTGTCTGAGTAGTCTTTCCCACGAGTCTACGGGACACACCAGCCCCGCTCACGCCTCATCACTAATAATGCTGGGGTCCAGAGGCCAGGCCGCTTGCTCGCGCTGCCGAGGCCCGGCCGAGGCATCCTGACTGCAGGCTTTGGTTTGGGGATGTGTCACTGTTGGTTCTCGCTCTTTAGGTTTCTCTCTAATTTATGGAAACAAGTCACACCACAGAAGTAGGGCTCCCTGACTGAGAATCTGTTATTCCTTGTGCCTTCTGGGCACACTGCAGATTTACCCTGCTGTTAATACTCCTTTTGTCTTATTTTCCTAATAGGGAGGGATGCCTTTTCTGAGTATTTAACCAACTCACTGCCTTTAGGGTTTTAATTAACTAATTAATTAATTTAGTATAGTGTTCTGTCTGCATGTACACCTGCCTGCCAGAAGAGGGCACCAGATCTCACTGCAGGTGGTTGTGAGCCACTACGTGGTTGCTGGGAATTGAATTTAGGAGCTGCTGCTGTGAGCCATCTCTCCAGCCCAGCCTCCCTCCCTCCCTCCCTCCCTCCCTCCCTCCCTCCCTCCCTCCCT